CCGGTATTAGAGCAGGTATGCACGGTAGAAATTTCTCACCCCATAAATCGTTCATTCGTTCGTTTAAACCGTTTATTCGTTCGTTTAACCGTTTGCGATATTGTTGAACCGTTTAACAGTTTGAGAAAGTATTCGACCGTTTAAACCGTTTGCCCATGTATGTGGCCTTTTCTTTACTGCGTATTAGCGAAACGAAATTGCAAGCGTAAGGAAAGTGTTGCTTCCACCGCCGTCTTGGGCGGCGGAGCCAGCAGCCAGGGGACAGCTTCAAACAGTGGCTGAAACAGACCTCACGTGAGGAGGCCTCAACACCAATTCAGGCGTGCGTTATCCATAGCTAGATAGATTGAACAACAAGCAAGAACAAGATCATGATCACCAGCGCGTAGCCGTTTGTGCCTGTGATAATTATCACCCGAGTAGAAGCCTTGCGCTTCCAACAGAAAGTGTCGGAAAATAGCTTTTGCTCCTGTACTATTGCTTCTCCTAACTCGTCTCGTGAATTTCTATGTAAACGTTTTATGCACATAAAATATACATTTGTTTTTCTTCAGGGAGATCCTGATAGAATTTCTGCTCCGTCTAACGTCATGTTATATATATGGAATATATTGTCACAGCACCATCACGACTTGTCTAAGACACTCACGTGAGCACAGACCATTAGCGCACCATAAAGCTGTAGTCTAGATAGCTTCCTCTTCCCTCCTCCTTAAGGCACAACTACGTTATTACTAGCACCTTATATTCGCCCCGTGATATATATCCACATAGAGCCGACTAGTTCTAGCAATGGCATGATTTCGCATCATCCAAGGCCGAGAGGAATGTGGGCTGATACATCTATCCTTGTTCTGCCTATCTACAAGCGGTAATATTTGGTACCTGTCTATGTTAGATATTATGCTGTTGTGATTAGTACAGGCCACGTCTACTTGTCCACTGGTTGCCTAGCCCTTCATATTTTGTAATCCACCATCCTCTAATCGCCGAGACTCTAATAGCAGGCTTACATGTTAACAAAAAAATCAGGCTTTTTGACAAGCGAGTTTGTGAAACAATCTCCCATAGAGAGTAGCTGTCTCGTGATTGGAAAAGTTCATGGCGAGTCGCTGAGTCGGAGTATGAGTCAGGATATGGAATATGGGACTTGACTGAGTTCTTGCATCAAGTGGCCACTGGCAGGTGGCCTTTCCGTTTTGGCCACGATTACTCGAAACAGAATATTTGCCAATATCCTCAAGTTCAATTGGCCAGTTGTCGGCCCTGCCGTGGATGCTGCTTCCCTGTTTTCTTGAGACGGAGCACTAATGGCTG